AGGGAAATCATTTTTGTTGCCCATGTCATAGATGCTCTTGAGCTAGTTTAGTCTGGAAACAACTAATGAGTCAACCAGCAAGCAGAGCTCATGGACGTAAGTATATAATTTTTAGTGTGCATGTGTCTCTACTTTCATATCATACGTAAATTTTACTGATTTCAATCATTTGATAAGAATTTCCTGTAATCATTATGTAGAAAACATAGGTGAAAACGACACTCACTTTGTTCTTAAAAATCTTAGACTCTAGCAGGACAGGCAGAACATTCACAAATCATTATCATGCAGGATAGAAAGTGTTAAGCACAGATAAAGCTATAGGTGAATATAGAGGTCCAGACACATGCAATGTAACTGAAAAAGCAAGGATTGGGTTAAGAGTTGAATGGTTTCCAGGAAGGGTTTTCTAATTATTTCAAAGAAAATTTATTAAACAATAAAACTCTTTTTTCAAATGTTTAAATTACTTAAATTCTTATGGAAAATTGACTTCTAGAATTCCCATTTCTATATACAGGGATATTCCCAAAATTAACTGAATCAATTAAGAGTAAGTCTGTAAATGCACAACCTTTATTTGCTCTTTCAGCTAGAAGAACAATCAAAACATGTAAGTCAAAAAGAAGATGTGGCTGCATTAAAAAGACAAATTTATGATTTATCAATGGTAAGAATCACCTTTTCACTTACAGAAATACATTTCCTGTTAGACTGCTGTTCCCTAAACATAATCATTGCACATTTCTGTCCAATTTCCATTTTTCAGAAATGTTTAAGTCACCTGAGTGCAGATGGGCCTCTTTTCCATTCTTTTAACTTTTATTGGTTTATTTCCTTTGGCATTTCATGTCAGTGAGTTCTCAAAAGGGAAGGAAGAAAAATTCATATACTCAATTCACCATCTTGAGCTGGTAGCCTCCAGTGAATATTTAAAAAAAAATCTTAGATAAATCTTTAAAGTTTAAAAATTATTTTAAAAGAAAACTTAGGAAATTCTAATTCCTTTAGAATTTCCAAAAATTTCCAAAAGAACATTTTAGAAAATTTCTAACCACACTCATTTATTTTTAAATGCAAAATGTAAACATGTTAGGTGATAGGATTTATTGTAAAAAGAAGCCAGTCTAGATGGTAATAGATATATTAATTTCACAGAATTTTTATCAGTAGTTTCATAGCTGTCATTAGTAAGACAGATGTTTAAATGTTTAGTCTCTGTTAATTTGCCAATAACATGTCAAAGTACAAAATGACAAACTCTTGAGTGTTGGAGTTTGGCACCAAATGTTATGTATTAAAAAAAACCAACACACAACTTTGAGGATTTAGATTTTTGACACTTTAATACTTTATCATAATTTCAAGTTACATTGAATTGATAACTAGTTCTTTGACTACCAAGATTCGAAGACTTGCGGATGGGTGAGAGTGGTGTGTGGGAAAGTTACACTACGCGTTATTTCATTTCTCCCAGGTGGAAGAAACAGTCTTATGACCTGCAATGTTCCTTTTCTCTAGGAAAATCAGAAAGTTAAGAAAGATCTGTTGGAAGCACAGACAAACATAGCCTTTCTTCAGAGTGAATTAGATGCTTTGAAAAGTGATTATGCTGATCAGAGTCTGAATTCTGAAAGGTATGAAACTTCACATCTGATTTTTTTTTTTTAGTTTGAATGGAATATTTATTTAGGTAACCATCCATGGGCATGAAGCTTAGTTATGTAATAATAAAGACTTATTTATTAACTTTACTGATATAGTCTTTGCTTTCTAAAGATTTTACTTTCAGTATTGTTAGGTGGCCCAGGAGGCGGCGAGGAAATAAAGAGAGCCGAGTCAATCAGAAAAGAAAGAAAAGGAAAGGTTTCATTCTGCATCCCTGAGCGACCCAAGAACCCCAAAGACAGGGCCAGTGGATTCACGCCCACAGGGAGGGGGGGCACTTTGTTTTATACTGTGGTTGGGTGAGGGGCGGGGGCATGAACTGAGGAAGTCTCCGCTGCAGGGGGGCGGCAGGGTATTCAGGAAGGAGTCAGTATCTGTGTGGGGGTCGTTGTGGATTCAGGGAGAAGCCTGTATCTGTGTCTGGCACGCTGATCTGTTAGAAATTCTAGGGAGGGTCCATTATCTCATCACATGTCTGCATGTATCCGATCTATCCTGGGCTCTCTCCGACCTAACAAGTATCAGCTTTCCTAGTGATTTTTTGTGTTTTTAATTTTTTATACAAACAGATTAATTAGTTTAAATATTGACTGGGTAGGACAGTGCAGGGCTTAATAAATGATTGAATTAATTGGGAGTAGAAGAATGTACCTAATGTTACATTCTTGATGTACATTAATATTACATCAAGAGTTAGTGCTAATTAAAGGGCTTTGAAGGTAGGAATATTGGCCCTTCAATATAAGAAAAGGAAAAGTAGACATCTTAGACAAGTAATTTTATTTTGCTGTGCTTTAGTTTTGTAGTATGGTATATAGTAACACACAGAGAGACATATAGATAGATAGATAGATAGATAGATAGATAGATATAAAATTGCATATATGTGCAAATATAAAGTACATATATATGCATACACACATTTGCATATAAATGCATCTATATACATATCTGCATATGAAATGTAAAAGTTGTGGTCTCTGCTCTTTGAGAACTTGAAATTTAATTGAAGAAAGTAAAAAGCAAAGAGACATTTGAGGTGACCTTGGGAGGGGGAATAGGTTTGTGTTGGTCAAGGGGAGCAGAAGCAACATCAGCAAGTAACACAGGTGCCTAGTAATTTACTAGTACTAACTAGTACTGAGTACTAACACATTCAGTCCACATAATGCCCAATGAGACAGGGACTTTCCTTATCCCCATTTCACAGGTGGGAAGAGAAAGTTAAGAGATGTTCTAGGTGAGGCAGTACCCAACACAGGGTCAAGAATATAAGGACAGATAAGCCTGGTTTGGGGGAAGTGGTTATGCCACTGGACAGGAAAAAGACATTTTGAAATGAAAGGTAAAAGTTTTAAAAAATTAAAATGTTTAAAACCTTGTTTAAAACTAAAATGTAAGAGCCCAGAATTTCTGGTGAACAAACTTAAATTTCTGCAGACAATTGGAAAAGTTTTAGCCTTATTAAGAGAGCAAATGGGTAGGTTATTGTGGACAAAGTTTGATACCTTGAGAGCTTCAGAAGCTAGTGAGGGGGGTTATCTGCTTAGAAATGGGGCTGAGATGGAATACGGGCTGACTATGGATGGCTGGTGTTCAGAGTGGACTTCTTGAGGATGAGGCCAGGGCTTCATAATAGAGCAACAGAGGAATCAGTGTGTGAGAGTTTGTAGTGCATGGAGAAAGCCTGGTCCTGTGGATTCCCCATGATTTAGGAAGAGGAGAGGAGGGAAAGTAGGAGTAGGGGCAGGGAAGGGAGAGAAGGAATTATGAGAAAGGAGAAGATAGCTGCGGTTGGGATTGTATGAGGCTTGGAATGACCAGAGAAGGGTTAGAACTGACAGTGAATTGAGGAGAAGGGACTTAGCAGAAGGTCAATGGTTTATTCCCAGTGAGGACAGCGCCAGGTCAGTGGAGTGGGGAGGAAGGGCTGGTGGGTGCAGAGTGGGGCGATGAGGTGGAACAGCACCTTGCACAAGGAAGCTGAGGGTGTGGTGTGTTTTGGAGTCCCAAGAGGAGAGGAGGCTACTGACACCTCAGAGAAACCAAGTGGGAGCACAGGTGAGATGGAAACTGTGGTCAAAGACATACGTCTTTGCAAAGGTAAAAAAGAGTTTGAAAGGGCAGGTTTGGGTAAGGCAGGACTGATCACCTAATTCTCACTCCAACATAAAATATAATTTTACAGGGATCTGGAAATAATCCGAGAGTACACGGAAGATCGAAATAGTCTTGAGAGGCAAATTGAAATACTCCAGTAAGTTCTCATATAAAATGCTCATTGCATTTACATTTTACTTATTTTTTGTTAATAACACATGTGCCACATGTAACACAGGTGCTGTATGCTAAGGGCTGGGTTCTCATGCCAACTCGTGCATCTTCTAGCTGTGCCGCGTTTAGCACAACCTCTTAGCTGTCTGACGCTTCTAATCCTAAATAATCTAATAAAACCCAGGCACTAGAGTGTAATTCTCTATGTCCTAGCAAGTCAGTTGGTGTGTCCAGCGTGTCTTTATTACACCTCTGTTAGAATAATGGCCCCGACCTTAGTGGCTTTCTCTGCAACTCACCTGAGAGGTGGTCAGGCATCTCACGGTAGTGCATGTCGCAGCAGCAGGCATACACGGTTCTTCTTTCACGATTTATATTGCCTGGTTATAACTGGGTATGGTTTTCCTTGGTTAAAAAAAAAACCCTATTGGAAATATTTTACCTGCTCTGTCAACTTCACAGCTGAGTTGCAGTAATTCCAGCTTCTGAGGCCCTTCCCCACAAAACCTTCCCCTCTCACTCCCTGTCTCTGTTTTCTACCCATGCAGTCTTTTCTGCTGGGTTCACTTACCCCCAGTGAAGTAAGGTCAGGCTTGACAAATTCTTTTCACCATCTTTGAATGGTTTCCAAGTCTCACCTGTGGCAATTACAGAGTTGATGTACTACCATAATCCTATTCATTCATTCATTCATTCATTCATTATATTTTCACTCACCACCTTTTGTAGGTCATATGCTGGGGACTGAGAATAGAGTGGCAAGTAGGAAGAAAAATGAATCTCTCTCCTAATGGGGCTAGTCTAGGGAAGAAGACAGAAACTGATCAATAATAATAGAAATATGAAATGCCGAATGAGAGAGGCAGGACAAAGGGAAGGAATGTGTATACTGTAGAGAACTTTGGCCTAATCGGGAAGGCCCAGGAAGTGTTTCCAGTGGAAGCATCAAGTGAACTGAGGTCTGAAGCATGAATAAGCCTTTAGTGGGGAAAGATTAGACACTCGCCAAGGCAGAGGTTCTGGATTATCCTCATTTCATAGAAGAGGTTGCTGAGGCTCTGGCAGGTTAAATAACTCCCGTCAGTCATGTGAAAAGGACCCGCCTGAGTTGAAACCAGAGTCAATGTTGGAGCCGTTAACAGGTACACGGCAGTGCCCAGTGGTACAGCACCAGGCCAGGAGTGGGATGCACGAGTAGCCAGAAAAGTGTCTAGCATCACACAATGTCCGTAGCCGGGCTGTGCACAGGGGGATAGAGTGGCTCCTGGTGTCAGCCGGGGCCAGGCATTTAGTGAGCAGAGACCTGCATGAAACCTATTCAAACACAGAGCTCCCCAAGGGAAGAGTATTTCCACAGAACAGTGAATACCTTCCTAACATGCCTTGAGATCTTTAAAGAGAGGTGATGCATGCATTCAGTTGTACTTCTAGTAATGAATTGTGATCTCAGTTTGTGAGGTGTGAAGGGAAGACGTAGGAAGTTACAGGAGATGGTAATTCCACCTTCTGAATATCACAGCCTGGAAAATAACTGGTGATATTTCCCCCTACTGATACTTTCCACGTTGCTTTATGTTTTATTTACTCACTCTGCAGAACAGCTAACCGGAAGCTGCACGACAGCAACGACGGCCTGAGGAGTGCCCTCGAAAACACTTACAGCAAGTTCAACAGGTCCTTGGTATGCCGCAGAATTTTCTAACGCGTGGTGTTCTGTCTCGTGGTAGACTGTTTCAATGGAAATCTTGTATTTTATTCGGGGAGAACTTACAGTCATGAGAAACTATTCCATATAATAAAAGGGGGCATTTTCCAAAATAAAAAAACTGTGCTATCCCTCTGAGGAAGCAAATGCCCAGAGGTTAACCAGCTCTTGTTAGGTAGCCTAGGAAATCAGAGAATGATGTGCAGGTGTGACCTGGGCCCTGGCAGGTCCATAGTGTAGCAGGTAGGTAAGACGTGCACAGGTAGCAGTAACATAAGAGAGAGTGGGCAGTCCATGGAGGTACAAATGAAACATTGCCCAGGTGAGGGGAGGGAGAGGGTGCTTCTGGCTGAGGAGTGTGCTCACACACACTGAGCATGCTTTACGGGAGTGAGATCATCAGATGGAGGCCTTGGATTTTAAACCCTCCTGCAGAAACTAGCTAAGCCCCTTTTGGAGTTTGGAATTTTGAGGACCTTCCCCAGACTGTGTGTGAGAAAGCCTCTTCTCCCTCTTTTGGGGGTCAACCTCAAGTTTGGGGTCCCATAGGCGTAGCTTCGGGTATGGAAGGGTCACTCACTAAACCAGATTATGGTTCGAAAAGAAACAAATCAAAAGAAGTTGGTATTGCAGGGTTCTGGCAGATTTAGGGCACTGGGAGCCCCTTTATGGCTTACGTGGTAGGGATTAGACTTATGACACAAGGAGGAGAAAATACCATATGTGGTTGTTGTCCCCCCCCCCCCCCTCCCCCCCCCCCCCCCGCAACCCCTTGATTTTGGTGCTCACGTTTGCTCATGTAAGACACCAAACTTTTAGTTGCATTGGAAGTTAACTAGTGTGCTACAGGTTAAAAACCATATATATAAATAAAATGCTTACATGGAGTAACGAAACAATAATTATGCATTTCAGCGTGTAAATAATACATCGCCAGGGAATACAAGTTCTAGGAGCAGTCCGAAATTTAATGGTCATTCTCCTCAACCTCCGGGCTATGACAGGTATGTTATTTTCATTTTGTTTGAATTCTGGATCAAAGTTGAAAGGAGAGTAAATTTCCTTAGAGGTAAATTTCCTTAGAGGTAAATTAAAATAATAGAATATATTTTGGGCACTAATTTGTATTTCTACACTTACTTTAAATTTTGGAACATGAAATATGTATAAAGATTAAAATAAAAATGTTGAAGATAGGGCAAAGTAATTTCCTTAAGATGTCATGACTTGGTTTTACGTAAGCTCACCTTGACCTCATTCCTAATTGTGTCTTGTTTCTTAGAAGTGGACTTGGTAAAGGGAGTTTCAGGGAAATCAGTCGAACTCCAGTATATGTTGTGTTTTTCAGCGGAACCTGTGGGTCGTGACCCCTTTGGGGGTTGAATGACCCTTTCACAGGGGTCCCCTAAGACCATTGGAAAACACATATATAATTACATATTGTTTTTGTGATTAATCACTATGCTTTAATTATGTTTAATTTGTAACAATGAAATTGGGGGTCACCTCAACATGAGGAACTGTATTAAAGGGTCGTGGCATTAGGAAGATTGAGAACCACTGTGTTATATGATGTTGAGATTCTTGGTAAATGTTTAATAGCTCAGCATAATATGTAAGCTATATTCAAGGAAAAAGACACTTTCAAAACAAAAGCAATATGGCTAGTGTTTCCAAGCTCTACTGTATTAAAGGAGTCACAGAGGCTACCAGAAGTGAAAATTTAGCTCTATTTTTAAAAAATTCATCTTATTGTTGAGAATATTACAGATGTTCCCTCTTTCTCCCATTGATCCCTTCCAACCCCCCACCCCCCGTGCTTTCACTGCACTGTTATCTGTCCATGGATTATATATGTATGTATTTAAGTTCTTTGGTTAATCTCTTCCTTCCCTTCCCACCCCCCGCCTTCCCACTGAGATTTGTCAGTCTGTTACATGTTTCCATGTCTCTGGATCTATTTTATATGTCAGTTTATTGAATTCATTAGAATCCACGTATGAGTGAGATCATGTGATACTTGTCTTGCTCTGACTGGCTTCTTTCACTTAGCATAGTACCCTCCAGGTACCTACATGCTCTCTCAAAATTTTTAAAAAATGGGCAGATGTTCCTGAATAGAAACTTCTGCAAAGAGGAGATACAAATGGACAAGAGGCATATGTAAAATGCTCAAAGTCACTAATCATCAGAGAGATAAAATTAAAACAACAGTGAGGTGTCACCCCATCCCTGTCAGGATGGCTACCATAAAAAAAATCAACAAATGACAAGTATTGGTGAGGATGTAGAGAAAAGGGAACCCTAGTGTCCTTGCTGGTGGGAATGCAGACTGGTGTAGCCATTATGGAAAACAACATGGAATTTCCTCAAGAAATTAAAAATGGAACTGCCATTAGCTCTATTTTTAATTAAATAAAGTGAAATATTGGCCCTACTGTAACTTTAGATCTAGCACTAAAAATGGAAAGATAATATGTGTATGCACACACGTGAACACATACATACATCCGGCTACTTAAATGGTTACTTTTGGAGTATGTCAGGGTTCGAAAGTAGAAGTGAATGGGCAAACTACAGGTTTCCATCTCTCCATCTCTGATGCAGCTTTCTGATTCATGCTCATTCCCTTTCACCTGGGGACCTTTAGTCTAAAGAATAATGTACTTAATATGCTGGTGATAGCAAAATGGGCCAGTCCCCTTTCAGGAAGGTCAGTGGTCACTTTTAAGAAAATTCTATCCATGTAGCAGATGTTTTGTCCACTGATTTGTGAAATAAAAAATTGTAATGATTTGTTGATTTATAGGCAGCTGACTGCTCTGTTATTGGGAAATACAGATTACTTTTAAGAATGTGTTGGTATGATGGCATTTTTCTGGCCTGATATCTAAGGTCAGTTTTAAGCACACGGGGGAAAAGATGCCTAACTGAAAATTATTCCAGAAATTCCATCATGATTTATTTTTGAAGACAGTAAATACCATGAACAAGGCCCATAAATACTGGACTAAGAGCCCATGGGCAATAGCTTCTGAAGGACAAGTCGTCACAACCCAGAGGCTCAGAGCGACAGGACCCTGTCACCTGTGTGCTCACCACCTTGAATAGAGGGATGCCATCGTCCCACTGATGTTCATTTTTGGGCAGTCACTAGTTTGATAGAAGTTAATATTTTCTTTTCATTTTGATGCTAGTATAAACAGTTAAAAGCATATTATAAATTTAATTTTATTACTTCTGTGGCCTTACTGAATTTCAACTTGTCTATTTTAGTTTTGTGTTTTCCTAAGAATGTCAATGACAATATGACTTGTTTTAGATTTTTACATATTTCATTGTAATGAAAATATTCTCTGGGTGGGTAAGAATAGTTTACTTTTAAAAGAGTATGTATATAAGTTGAGTTTGAAAAAGTCTGATCTGTACCTATATTTTTAATTTAAAGTTTAGACATTCATGGAGATGATGTCTCAATTCAGGATTTTACTTCTCCTTTATTCCTTATCAAAGATACAAGTAGGTTAAAAAGATAAATTTCTGACCAATAATGACATAGAGCTGAAGTAGGTTGTACTATATTATAATGAGAATGGTTTTCTTAAGTTCCTTACAGATTAACCTAAAATCAATTTCAGAAGGAGAGTGTCATAAATGATGAAATAGTAAAAGAATGTATACACACCTAGCTAGCTAGGTAGATTGAGATTTGGTATGAAATTCCTGTTCCAAGAAAAATACCTCGTAAGTGAGCAACATATCAGATAAAGCATATTGGTTAAATCACCTTTTTAGTTCATTTTAAACATTTGCTAAAGGCACCAAAATATTTTGATTTCTAAGATTTATATAGCTTAATACTTCTTAATACTTCTATTAAGTCCACCCTGTCTTTTCTAAGCATATCCATCTCTTGTTAGTTCTCATATCTGGAGACCCATGGACCCACCCATTGCCCCTTTCTGATGAAATCATGTGTGCCAAGTAGCTGGGATTGTGTCCGATGTGTAGCAGGGACTAAAGAAATTATAGCCACTGTTTTTATTTTAATATAAAACAAGATTCTTATGAAAATAAACAGAAAAGCAGATGTTTGAGTTTCATGAGAGGAAAGATCCACAGAAGTCAGAAGTTCTAACCTTTCTGCATGAAACCTCTCCTGTAGGGGTTTTTCCAGACTGTGTGTCGACATTTCACAGCAGAAAACTCATTTCACCTTCCAAACTGTTTCAGGACCACATGTTTGTAATTGTCATTTTTCACCATGTTGTTAGAAATATGACTCTCAGAAAAGTCTACCAGTTGGCCCTTATTTTGTCTTGGGAAACCTGAGGGAATGTATTCTTCTCGTGTCAGCCCTTCGCTTATTTGAAGAGTGAAACCATTAAGATTTAAGCTGAGTGCACTGAACCATTTCTCATATTGGAGGGTTTTGAGTCTCACGTCATCACTGTTGCCCTCCCCTCCCCCCCACACACTCCGCAGGTTATCAGCATCCCTTCTAAGTAGAGATGTTATTCAGAAATGGATGCATTGTTCAGAATGTGGTCTGACCACATGAGAGGGAAAAGGTTCACATGTTCTACATTTATTTTTCTTTTTAAAAAAATATATTATCAATTT